GCCTTGTTCATGATCTATGTCCAACCTCTAGGATAGAGAAAAAAGTAGAAAAAAGTAAAAGCAGAACCAACCTACCTTGAAGGCATTTTCCGGGCATAACATGTGGGCGAAAAAAATTTTGTTGGAGTTACGTTTACAATTTTTGAATAAGACGAGCAAAATGCATCAAGTCTTGCTCAAATTTACATCGGCATATTAAGATTAATCTATGTTTTCAATGTTTCAGCTAAGCCAAGAGCAGCAACATTAAAAGAAAAAGATCCCAAAATTCTAAAGGTTGATTAATAATATATGAATGAGACGCCATTACATCAAAAAAGGTGTCTCAAATAGCAAGCCGACGTTCTAGGCAAGGATTGGCTGGCATTGGCAAAGTATTGAAAATACATGCACGGAGATGCGCAAGTATGGAGAGGGAAGTACAGGAAGGTTTCAACATGCTCAGACAGTCGATGGGATACCTCCGGCGGGCATATGGTGCGAGCCGGCGGCGTGGCGTTATGGAGCAAAGCTACGCCGCATTCGCTTGCGGTATATCCTGAGGGCCCTTGGCGTTGTGTCGCTCCTAATTGCACCCGCAGAGGAGCTAGCGTTACCCAGCGGATTGACTCATTCTCGAAATTCTTCTTCTGTAAAGAGACCAAAATGCGGAAGTTAAACAAATTTTGAGGATCAAAAAAAAAAGATTCTGAGGAAGAAGTGTTTGAAAGTCCACCCAAGAGAAAGTAAAAACTTGGAAAGTCAGTAACAAAAATTTCTGTCCCTTTTCTCCACTAATTCTCGTGTAGCGCTTAAAATCAGTCTTTTATTCTCATTCGAGATTCAGCCTTTGCCTCCGTAAAATCCATCCACTTTTCAGTTTTTAATACCTTTATTGCAATCATGCAGTCATGCAAATTGGATATCTTCTCAAGGCGTAGCAATAGGGAATGGCTCATTCGCTTCCAGGAGCGGCGTACTCCTGCGGCTGCAATTAAAGGCGACGCAACGCAACTGGCCCTCAGGATATACCGCAGGGGAATGCGGCGCTGCTTTGCTTCAAAACGCCTGCCCCCGTGGAGAATGGGGGCAGGCGTTGCTGCCAGTTCATAACCTCTCAACTCTGCTAAGAACCTAGCGACAAGCTCGTGCTATATAGGTTTCGTTCCCCAAGCTTTACCGCATGGTTATTCCTGCTTTTTCGAGAGGACTTCGAGAGGTTTGCATTCAAATTTTTCTTCGAAAGATGTGATCGTTTCACTCCATAGGCAACACCTCGATAAAATTAATATGATTAGCGCGTAACTGCACTGCCGTTCTCAAAAATATCTTTCTCTGAGTAAAGTGAGTGATTGTTCGGCAGAATATGAAAAGCTCAGGCAAGTTTCAGAGCATTATCACAATTAATTTTGGAGCTTTGGACCACAAATCTGAATCTTATCCTCAAAAAATGGTCTCTCTTTGAATGATGTCGTCCTGCGTTTTGTTTAGACTGAAAGTTTCAAAGCAAAACCTTGCATATTCGAGGCTGATACGTTAGTATAGATCAAATCGTTTTGGACTGACTTATCATCAAAACTCCATCATTTACAGAAGGGCTCTGAGATTGGAATCGATGGACTAGCTAACAGCGCCGACAGAGCCCTGATTCTATAATGTGATATCCGAAGTAAAATATACGAAGAATCTTGGAGGGCATTTCATACTTTTTTTCTCCCATTTCTGGATATCTGCTCAGACTCGACAGGGGTAGGAAACCATGCGTTTTGTATTCAAGCGAGCAGCAGAAAAAATCATTGCCAAATTTTTGCGGCTGAGATAGCCTTTAAAAGTATTGGCCACATTTCACACAAAAGTCAGAATGCAGTCCTGCCTTGTCTTAGAATGAGACGCAGTGGTCGCATTCTTGCACCAATCCTCTCTGTTTTGTACTGTATGTAGCTCCAATCATTCTTAGGAAAAATACGAAAAAAAATTTTTATCTATTATATAAATATGGAGTGGTATAGAAACTAACGCTTTTGATGTTGTGGTAATATAGTTCGTTAATTGGGAAAAGATTAAAAAGCTAGAAGTTTCTCGCTATGACAAAGATCTGGTTCTATATTACAAATCATTTATTTAGCGAGCCTTTTCAGCACGCTATCAACTCCGTAAGACGAAAGAGTCACATAGAATGTTAAGCTGATGTGTAATATCCTGTAATTTTCCTAACCCTAAGGGATGTAAAGGTCAAAAAATACTGAACTGCTTAGGAGCAGCGTGTTGAATCTTTCTTGCATGTTACCTAGTGAGCTTTCAAGTTTATGTTATAAGCAATCCCGCTAACCAGCGAAAAAATAAAAAAACTGCTTATTCTTTCAAATCAAAGTAAACAAGAATGGAAAAACTGCTCGTTAGACCTCAAAATGTACCAATTTTGCTTTTTTCTACAGCCAGACAGCTCTGAAGTCTCTATATCCCAAATTAGGCAGCCGAAGCAAAAATGACATCCTCGCCATTTATAAAGCTGCTTTGATTGGCGTACATTCAAAACTACATTACAGATGTCGGTGCCTCAATCAAGAAAATATGGTTTGTTGAAGTTGCGTGTTTGAACTGCGTCTTCTCAAAAGAGCCGTAGCGGGCTTCTCCATATCAACGACTTCACTCTCCAAATTTTTGCCTAACTAAGAATCATGACCATTCTAAATGAGCAGTAACATCTAAGATCACAGATAAGTTGAGCTGAAATTCCATCTCGCTAAGAAAGCGTTACGAAATCCGTAATTACTATTTACTAATTCCGTATTGTTTTGTGGCGTTTTTGATATCTGATCGCAGAAAACACCCATTGAAAGATGACTGCTTGCCCGCAAAATCTGCCCTTCTGGCGCTTCCACTTAATACAACTCAAAAACTGAAAATCACGGATTTCGCTGAAAACTCGCCCAGGGGGTCATTCGACCTGCTGATTATGAAAATGATGTCCATTTGGCTTGGTGGGATTTTTTTTGGGGGGGGGGGTTACGGTAGGCATACGGTTTGGGATCAAAATCTCGGAATTCGCTGAAACTTTGCGTAATGGCTTTATTCGACATGCTGATCACCAATATCATATTCATTACTCTCAAAAACCTCTCCCTGTGTGGTTACGGTAGGTGTACGGTAGGGAAAACCTAATTTTGCTGGAATTTGGTCTGGAGGGGTTATTTAGCACGCTGAACATGGATATCATATTGATTGTACGGTAGCGCTAGCGTTACGGTAGGTGCACGGTACATGTGTGAAATCAAAATTGCTCAAAACGTCGCCTAGAGATTCAAGCATGCTGATAATGAATATTAGGCTTGCTCGCTATAATAACGCTTTGTTGTGGAGCTATGACAATTTGCAGCGCTTACAGAAGCATCTTCCCCGCTTTTCAGACCTATTAAGATCTCAAAAATCAATGAGAAGGCTTTATAAGCGAAATGGGCGCGGTATTCGTGATGAGCACATCATATAACACCCCTGCACAAAGTTTCATACAGATCTACGGTTTTGACCCCTTACCATATACCTACCGTAACCGTACAAGGAGAGATTTCCGTGCGGAAAAAGTGTGGTTCTTGCGATCAGCATGTCGAATAACCCCATTACGCGAATTCTGAGATTTTGACCCCATCCCGTGTGCCTACCGAAACCCCTCAAAGAAAGCCTCACCATGCAAATTAGATATCATTTTTGTGATTAGGAGGTCGAGTAAGCTTTGAGCGAATTTTCAGCGAAACCATGATTTTCAATTTTGGGTTGTAATAGGTGGAATAGTACCTGCCTTTCTGTTGATCAAATGATGAGCGCTAAAGATCTCATGCACCTGAGAAAATTCGACGAGCGATCGCAGAAAATTCTGCATCGTGCTAATTGGCAGAGTTTCCATATCAAATGGTGTAGCGCTTAATTGTTCGGTCACGCCTTAAATTTTAGCTGACCGCGAAAAAAATTTAGCTGACCGCGCAAGAAAGCGCGATTTAACGGTCCGCCCGCCGACAGCCGGGACGAATTGGGTTTCACCGCCTGTCTCTACCTCGTCTCCGGCCAGCAAGGGATAGGCGCTTGGGTTTTGTAGACAAGCGGGCAGCGGAGAAATAGTTCCCTACATTTTTGCGGTCCGCTTGCCGATATTTGGAAGAGTGCTGGTAGCTTTCTAGGTGAACGCTTAGAAGCAATTACTGCTTTTCGAGAGACGGTCAAGAGCGCGATTTCTCCGCCTGTCACCAACACAAAACTGTGCTATGCGAGTCTTCAGAAAGCACCGGATAAAGTGCATTAGCTTACTATCGGTCTGAGCTTGTTACTTGCTGAATCTGATGGCTTTCGTTGAAAAACGTAACAAAATGCTTTTCAGAGCACAGTTGCAGGCAAATGGCCGCACTCTCGCGAATTTCCACGTGCATTGCAAAGCTGTGTGTAGGGCCGTGCTCCCGTAAAGATCACTGGCGTTCGTTTACCTGCCGCTTAGAAAAAAGTACCTCAAAGCCAATTAACTAAGACAGCGAACCCTTCCCATTTAGAGTACAATCCTTGGCCGGCGTACATGCAAAACTGGATGACAGATACAAGCATAAACTTCATTTGAGACGATTTTTTTCAAATGCTCAAACTGAACAACTTCACCGGCAATGCTGCCACGATTTTTTTCTTTACAAGACGTAACACTCAGCTCTTCTCTTCGAAAATATTCTCGTAGTCTCTAAATTGTTTCAGTCAAGCACTTTTGATATAGTTCAGAAGAAGAGTGATTTGCAATGAAACCAATGCTATGTTTAGCTCTTCTGTAGACACAGCCTGCTGTTTGAAGTAATGTGATATCTTATTTCAATGATATTCAATGTTCTCCATCAATCCTGTAATTCATCATACTTATTCAATTTTGATTTAGATTGTTTGAGGGAGAATGCTGCTTTTGGATTTAGTTTTGAAATCGCCTAAATATCATGTATTTTGGTGATATCCTACCGTACAGGTCGTCAGCAGGAAGAATAATTTATCGATTCCAGCAAAAATCAAACGGAAACCGAAGTGCAGCCATTCAGCGAAATGTTTTCTGTTGGTGGCAATTTACTAAAAATTCTATCCGCGGCACTCTCAGACGAAAAAGCTATTATTGCTACACAAGAGCAGGTAAACCAAGAACACTTGACAATTTTGCATATTAGAATGGCATTTTAGGGAGATGAAAAGTACTTGAACTGTTTTGCGCCAAGAGCTTTGTGCAATGGAGCAGACTGCCAATTCTTCTTCAATGTGGACGTTGTTTCAACACCAAAATATTTTGGCGATTTTTTTAAGTGCTTTTCATATGAGTGAACAAACTGAGAAAAAATAGTTTTTTGAAATAAACCTTTGTGAAGGACTTTTTCGTGCGAAAATATCAGTGGTGTTGTCTTGATGCAAATTCAGCGACCATACTCCTCAAACGAACACAGTGATGGTCTGCCCAGCAACTACACGGCTTACGCTGCGTACGTTCGCGTATGTCGCGTAAGCCGCGCAGCCTACCCCTACACATAGCTACGGTTGGCGAACCCAATAAGTCAAAGGCAGCATCCCGGCGAAGTCCGGGCAAAGAAAAAGAGTTTACGAAGCCTAAAATCAGCTTTGAACGAAGGGAACTCAGGCTTATCGATTGTGCTAAGCTAATCGTAAGATTTTCGAAGTGCAGGCCCGAATACGCATATCGCACCCAGTCGCGGTTAAAGGCACCGTCCATTCAAAACGTGTCGATAAGATTTTGATGCCTAACAATAGTGTGGCCCCCAGTTGTATACTTGCCCATCGCGCTGCCAGTCTTGCTTCCAAAGGGGGAAATTGCTTCAAAAATTGCTTTGAATGACGGATTCGCCACTTTGACTCCTCCCCCTCTGAGTGGGCATGACGTTCGTCCCGCCCATTTGAGCGTACCTAACCAATCACCGCTCCACACAACTCGCCCTGCGAGCTCTCCGAAACCGGGTTTGTCGGGGTTTTCGCGCATTCTGGACTTGATATTCGGATCATGGACATGAGAAGGCCCCGGAACGATAAAAACAGGGAAGCCGAGAATCTGGGTGGGCGGTGCATTCAAGGGTCCCACAACGACTCTACCTCTTTTATGGCAGGCCCTCGCGTTTTTCAAACTAGGGGCTTCGGAATAACCTAATTTCAACATTCTCGCTCAAAGCTGCATACTTGAAATTAGCGGGACTGATCAGTACATTTTGAGCGGAAAATCTTCAAATCGAGGTACGTGCCATCGCGCCTATCGATGGCAACCCAAAAGCGTCCTTGTGTGGCTGGGGTATCACTTAAAATACATTGTGTCCCAAAAAATGTGCCTACTGTTTGATTGCGACACTATGAAGTTTTTCGACAAGATTCAGGTACCATTTTGTAGGAGTGGCTTCAGCTTAGATTCACAATATGAAGCGAATCACCGATCCTCTTCGTTATAAGATCACGTTGGGAACTTTCGGCATACGGCGTCATAAAAGGTCAAGCTATTTTGAGCAATTTCAAAAAAATCCAGCAGCGTACAATAGATTTTTCGTGGACGACGAGTTTATCTCCTAATTTTGTACAAGATTGCGAAGCTATACAAAACGGAGTCCACATTTTCATCATCAGAAGAAAACGTCTGCTACTGTTTACCTGGCATAGATGGATTTCATATTTAGAATCAGCAGCTCTACCTAGCCTAGTGTGAGAGTTTTCAGGTCATCTTGTTTCTGTCTGAGCCAAAATGATTCTCCTAAAACCATCTTCAATTTTCACACCTTCACCCTTCTTCAAAAGGAGATGGATAATTTGCTCCATGCTGTATATCTAGGATGAAGCCAGTTCTACTAAATGGTGCCTAACGCTTCTCCAGAGACTTTCAAAAGGAGAGTCATTGACAATCAAACAGTAGGCACATTTTTTCGAACACCGTGTATAGTGTATGAACCATCTCTGTTTGCTGCGCCAGCCATGCTTGAATGATCAAAAACTTCCAATAACAGTCCAGCTGAGTCAAGCTAAATTCAGCCATGTTGACCACAATTTGATTTTGACATAAATTCTTAATAAAATTATGCCTCAGCTAGGAGTTCTTGGAAACCAACAGCTTATCCAGATTTAAAGAGAGGAGGGTACAGTAGAGATCTGAACGGGTAAGCCGTATAGTCATCTATATCCCGCTAGACATCTGGTGGGCGAGTTTGGTTTTGAACTGTAGCAGTCAGGTCGCAAAGCAGGCGCCAATTTCAGTCCAAGTTTCCGCATGTTTTTACCATTTTTGCCCTGCTTTCTTTAGTTGATGTTTTCAATTTGATATTGTTTTGTTACTGCTAAACGTTGTTTTCTGCCGTTATGCTTGGTTTTCTGTCTAGGTCTTTGTACTACGTGCAGCATACTTATCAAACGAAAGGTATTCTACCTCACAGTCGATGAGAATACCAATGTACTATCGACGCTATCAAGTTGCGGACAAGCCGCCTTTCTTCCTCGTCGCTCATTTTTAGATGGAAAACAAAGATGAAAAAATGATTGGATTGCATGTGGTGATAGAGCTCTTCAAGAGCTACAACCCGCTCATTTCGCTTTCTGGAAAACATGTATTCTAAAAATTTGAAAAATCTTTCTCTAAAAAAAGTCCGAAAATGGCCGCAATGTCGGACAGTAATTCTTCGAACGCGAAAATATTTTTAGGTCGTTTTTTGGAGCAAAAACAGAAGTTTTCCAGAGAGGTAAGCATATTATCTTATAGAGCTCATCAAGGACATTAATCAGATAGTGGTTACTTCCAAAAAAACCAAGCCTTTTTTATTTTGCTTTTTTTCAAAAATTAACTTCTAATTCCCTTTCTCAGGCCAAATTTCTTCACATGGAACCTATTCAAGGCATCCCAACAAAGCTGTTCGGATAAAACGGATGCTTTTTGACATCCTCTATGCATCGAACATGTGCTGGTATGTTTCTTTGCTGAAAACTAGTGAACCAGTAATCAAAGGCGCTAGATTGCATCCGCGTGCTGGGACCGCCACGCGGTTTCCCGCTATTTGCACATATTTGAATTGCGCTTACGATTCTTTATGTATTAGATTACTCTTGACAGTGCGTGCACATGACCCTCTCCCTGCATTTCACCATTGACTTGCACCGCTCTGCAGGCTTGTAGCTTGGTCGGCAGTCAATCTACGAGCCAGCGCCTGGACAGGACGGTATGCAAATGAGTTGTATTGAGGAATCACAGAAATCCTACGGAAGGGAAAGCGCAGTTTTAGAGGTGATTAATTGAAGGCTCCTCTCAACACGAGGATAATCTTAGAGCTTCGAAATGGATCTCTCACAAGATAATTGACAGTTTTGAAGTTCCAGGATGGAACTGGTGGCGAAAAGAGCTCTGTTCAATAGGCGAAAAATCCTTAGCCTACACTGAAGCTGTGCTTTTCACCCCAACCGTGAAATCTCCGGGATTTGTCAAACTCATCACGTTTGCATACCATCGTGTCCATGAAATCGATCTTTCGAATGAGTTTACATTCTAACTCGTAGATTGACCATCGGCCAAGCTACAAGCCTGCAAAACGGTGGAAGTGAATGGTGAAGTTGCAGGTGGGGTCATGTGCACGCACTGTCAAGAGCAATTCTCAGCAAAAAAAAACATACCAGCACATGTCCGATGCATAGAGGATGTCAAAAAACATCCGTTTTATCCAATTAGCTTTGTTGGGATGTCTCGAATAGGTTTTCATGTGAAGAAATTTGGCTTGAGAAAGAGAATTAGAAGTTGATTTTCGAAAAAAGCAAAATAAAAAAGGCTTGGGTTTTTTGGGAGTAGCCAAAACCTAATTAATGTCCTCGATGAGCTCTGTAAGATAATATGCTTACCTGTCTGGAAAACTTCTGTTTTTACTCCAAATAACGGCCTAAAAAATTTTCGCGTTCGAAGAATTAATGTCCGCGGCATTGCAACGCGGCCATTTTCGATTTTTTTTAGAAAAAGATTTTTTTATTATAATACGTGTTTTCCAGAAAGCGCAATGTGTTGGTTGTAACTCTTCAGAAGCTCTCTATCGTCGTGTGCAAACCGAACATTTTTTCATCTTTGTTTTCCATCTGAAAATGAGCGATGAAAACAGGAGGGCGACTTGTTTGCAACTTTTTGGCGATCACTGTATGGCTATTGTAATTTAATGGCTCGTCGATTGGTCAGCTATTAGGGCTCTTTGAATGCAGTGTTTCGGCAAATTGCGACTTCCGAAGAGCATTCTAAACTTCTTCTGTATGTCAAATCCAAAATTTTGTCTTCGCCGATTCCAAAACTAGGCTTTTAGTCTTCAGAAACGGACGAAATCGCATTTGCTAAAGCAAGTACCGCTTTGCGTGTGGGCAAAAAAAACCTTGCCGATTCGCAGATGAAGTGCAGACAGAACGTTGAAGGTAATTTTATGCAGCACCCACTAGCTGTTCAAATAGACGGCATTTTCTGCAGCAGACAGCAACTTCAAAAGTGACACCTTTGGAAGCTTGAAGGCATAATATTGAGCTGAATTTTTTCAGGATACTGTTCGACATAAAAACATTGAAAAGCTAGCCCGAGACACTGCCTTCATTCTTTCGGCCTCTTGTAGTAACATACTCCTCCCTCCCCCGGAGGTAGAGGGATCAATCAAATTAGGAACGTGGATCTAAACTTCTACAAGGTAACTGTTTGAGGTTTACCGTCGAAACGGAAGTGTGCAGAAACAAATGTGACTAACCTAATTTTATGTTTGAAAAAAAAACCTGAAAACATCCTTTCCAAAAAGATGTTCATGCTTTCTGACGACTATTGGTCGGACTGATCCACAAATTAGAGTTTCAAACAGACATCAGAAAATATTTTAGAACCCTAAAAATAGATCACAGTCATTCTTCTACTGAAAGTCTTTCATCCAGAAAATGCTAGCCTACTGTTATAATCTGGTAAAGCTCCAGGGTACCGCTTGTCTGAGCAAATACGATAGTATAGAATCCTCGTGAGTATGCGCTAGTTTAACTTGATTTTCTTCAAACTAGGATTCCATACGGGGTTATCGTATTCCAAAACAGGTAATACATGAGCTTTATAGAGCCTAAATCAAATGGATAATATCATTTATAGTCGTCCTCAAGCCACTAGTCGGTCGGTGGTCGAATTTGAATTCGAACTGGAGCAGGCTGACCGCAAGAGAGCGTGGCAGACGCAGCCCCTCCCAACTGCTTGCACGATCTTTTTTCTTATTTTCTTCGTGTTTCTTTGCTATCTCCGTATTGCGGCAATGTTCTTAATCAGACTTTCAGATTTCCACCGCTAACTCTTTGAAAGA